AAGAGGAAAGTCGGAAAGAACTCAAATACATGGAGGCTAAAGAGCATCCTACTAAAGAATGAATGGGTCAACCAGGAAATTAAAGAAGAATTAAAAAAAATTCATGGAAACCCATGAAAATGAAAACACAACTGTTCAAAATCTTTGGGATACAGCAAAGGCAGTCCTGAGAGGAAAGTATATAGCAATACAAGCCTTTCTCAAGAAACAAGAAAGGTCTCAAGTACACAACCTAATCCTACACCTAAAGGAGCTAGAGAAAAAACAACAAATAAAGCCTAAACCCAGCAAGAGAAGAGAAATAATAAAGAGCAGAGCAGAAATCAATGAACTAGAAAGGAAAAGAACAGTAGAACAGATCAACGAAACTAGGAGGTGGTTCTTTGAAAGAATTAACAAGATTGATAAACCCCTGGCCAGACTGATCAAAAAGAAAAGAGAAATGACCCAAATCAACAAAATCATGAATGGAAGAGGAGAGATCACAACCAATACCAAAGACATACAAACAATTATAAGAACATATTATGAGCAACTCTATGCCAGCAAATTAGATAACCTGGAAGAAATGGATGCATTCCTAGAGATGTATCAACTACCAAAATTGAACCAGGAAGAAATAGAAAACCTGAACAGACCTATAACCACTAAGGAAATTGAAGCAGTCATCAAAAATCTCCCAACAAACAAAAGCCCAGGGCCAGATAGCTTCCTAGGGGAATTCTACCAAACATTTCAAGAAGAATTAATAAGAAGAAGAAGAATTAATTTTTCCAAAGAAGACATCCAAATGGCCAACAGACACATGAAAAAGTGCTCAACATCACTCGGCATCAGGGAAATCCAAATCAAATCCTCAATGAGATACCACCTCACACCAGTCAGAATGGCTAAAATTAACAAGTCAGGAAACGACAGATGTTGGCGGGGATGCAGAGAAAGGGGAACCCTCCTACACTGTTGGTGGGAATGCAAGCTGGTGCAACCACTCTGGAAAACAGTAGGGCGGTTCCTCAAAAAGTTGAAAATAGAGCTACCATACGATCCAGCAAATGCACTACTGGGTATTTACCACAAAGATACAAATGTAGGGATCTGAAGGGGTATGTGTACCCCAATGTTTATAGCAGCAATGTCCACAATAGCCAAACTGTGGAAAGAGCCAAGATGTCCATCCACAGATGAATGGATCAAGAAGATGTGGTATATATACACAATGGAATATTATGCAGCCATCAAAAGGAATGAGATCTTGCCATTTGCAACGACGTGGATGGAACTGGAGGGTGTTATGCTGAGTGAAATAAGTCAATCAGAGAAAGACATGTATCATATGACCTCACTGATATGAGGAATTCTTAATCTCAGGAAACAAACTGAGGGTTGCTGGAGTGGTCAGGGGTGGGAGGGATGGGGTGGCTGGGTGATAGACATTGGGGAGGGTATGTGCTATGGTGAGTGCTGTGAATTGTGCAAGACTGTTGAATCACAGATCTGTACCTCTGAAACAAATAATGCAATATATGTTAAGAAAAAAAAAAAAAAGAAAATAGCAGGAGGGGAAGAATGAAGGGAGTAAATCAGAGGGGGATACGAACCATGAGAGACGATGGACTCTGAAAAACAAACTGAGGGTTCTAGAGGGGAGGGGGGTGGGGATGGGTTAGCCTGGTGATGGGTATTAAAGAGGGCACGTTCTGCGTGGAGCACTGGGTTTTATGCACAAACAATGAATCATGGAACACTACATCAAAAACTAATGATGTAGTGTATGGTGATTAACATAACAATAAAAAATTAAAAAAAAATTTCTCCTTAACCCATTAGTCAAAAAAAAAGATGCAACACCGAATAATGATTCACAGAACAATTGAGCTCTAAGTACAAAAACAAAAGTTAGGTGCTGCCATTATAATCTCCCTGATACAAGGCTAATACTCCAAGACCAGTTAGGGAAACAGGTTTCTGCCTCCCTTACCAAAGCCAAAACTTCTAAGGGGATAGATTTAACTAATTAGGGAGAGTGTGATTAAAACTGGAGCTGCTAATTGTCTACTGGGTATGTATTTCCAAGAATGTTCCCTAGAGGCTCTAAGCAATGGGAGACAAAATTAAGCCTAATATTCCTGCCATTTGTGCAGTTATCAACTGTCTGTTTCTCTCTCTTCAGGAAACTTTAAAAGTACACAGAGATGTGGTTCTCAATGCAAGCTATATGTTCCTGTGAGGAAATAATTTTATATTATGTTTAGAAACAGCATTACTTTGTGTTTAAACTTGTTTTAATGTGTACATTCTGGAGCAAGGAGATGTTTCTTTCAACAGCATGCTTTCCATCTGCAGAAGCCAGATGTTAATCTGCAGGAAAACTCAAGTGGTTAGTAAGACCAATTACATACAGACAGAGAACAAATATCAAATGGTAGGGAGAGGGAGGAGGGGGAGGTTTAAAATGGAGTTGGTGAAGCAGTTGTAGAACTGCAGCTTACGGGGGATGGGGAGACCCCAAAACAGTGGGGTTTTTATCCATTCCAAGAATAGTATGCCCTGACAAGATTTTTCTTCCTGAGTACTTCCTCCCCTAGAATTGAAGAATCATTCAAGAAACTCAGATAAAGTATTATAAAAAGGAAATGAATGAGAATTCCTGAAGGCAATTTCACATTTCATCTCTATCAATGATAAAAACCAAACATGTCTAGGGCTTCACATGGGTTCAAATTCTACCTCTGCCACTGTGATGGAAACTGTCAACCACCCTACAGTCTTCTTTCTCTTCTTCTTCCTGGAAGTGATAAAATACCCAGTACTGGCTGAGCCCATGGTTGCCTATGTTCGACCTAGACTTCCCATCCTCCTCCATAGACAGATGTGGCCAATGTAAGTATGTTAGGGCCAATGGAAATGATATGTGCACCCTCTGGGTCCTGGATACTTTCATCTCCATTATCTGGTTGAAAAACAGCAATGACTAGTAGAGCAATCTGGGAAGTCATGGGTTGAGTATGGCAGAATGACCCTGCAAAGCACCAACTGCTCACTTCCAGGCTTGGAGAAATCAACTTCTATGTTATTTAAGCTACTACACTTTGGAGTCTCCTTGTTATGGCAACCTAACCCGCACCCTACCACTATAGTCACTTACTGTCTGTGCTACTCAGCCAAGTTAATGAACCTAAGTCTCACTTTCTTCAACTGTAAAATGGTAGTATTTTGTGATGTCCTAAGATTATACTTATTTAATAAGGTACTAAGAAGAATAAATGGGTTAAGACATGTAATATGCCAAATCTGTAACTTACAAACACAAAAGTGCTCAATTAAGGGTAGGTGATGTTAGCAAAGATAAAGGACAACTTAGGAAGTGGCTTTCAAAGGCCTCTAACAGCAAGCAGCTATTGTGCCCACAAAACCCTAATGGCAGAAATGTCTATCTGCTATATATATATAACAGATAGTGCCTTCCAGCCTCTTTGGTCTTGGCTGCAGAAACCAAATGACAAAAGGGACGTCATCATTTGAAAAGCGTCATGTTAAGATGCACACATTGCGTCCCCGCTGTGGCTCTAAGGCCTACCACCTTCAGAAGTTGACCTGTGACAAATGTGGCTATCCTGCCAAGTGGAAGAGAAAGTATAACTGGAGTGCCAAGGCTAAAAGATGAAATACCACTGGGACCGGTCAAACAGGCACCTAAAAGTTGTCTACTGCAGATTCAGGCCTGGACTCTGTAAAGAAACACCACCTCAACCCAAGAAGGGAGCTGTGGCAGCAACCAGTTCATCTTAAGGATTTCAACAATTAGTCACACAATAAACATCCTGGTTAAAAAAAAAAAAAAAAGAATAGAAATGTGTATCTGCTTTGAGAGTGTGTATCAGTAACAATGTACTTAGAGAAAACAAGAGGTATCTTACATGTAGTGCAGAAGAATTAAGATTGAATAATGTTCAATTCGAATTTAGCTGTTCCAAACTCTTTAAATGGTTCTTTAAATTTTGCTCTATGTTATAACCAAACACTAGTTATTTGTTTCTGCTCAGTTGAAGGAATGGAGTTTCATGTTTATATACAAAATAGCTAAGTAGAAAGATACATTCATCAATATAGATCACCTAACCTGGGTAGGCTGAGAAAGAAACATACAAATGAACCGTAATCATCTATACTGGATACCCACCTAGATGCAAAGAGTTCTGTACTCAATGAAGGCTATGGCCTGATGGCCTTGCACACATTCCCCCCTCTGGACTGTGCCTTTGCAAGTGATAACTACTGTTATAGTTGACACTGTGGATTCTTCTTATCTTTTGTTTGTGGGACATGGTTAGAATGTACTCCTAGGATTTCTATAACCCTGATATCTGCTGAACACTGCAGTTGAGATCTTTAGCACCAGGGCCCTGATGTGAGTTTTACATGTCACAAGACACAGAAAAACCATGAAACTACATCAACCAGCAAAGGCCAGCATCTCGAAAATGGGAGCACAGATCACACTACGAAGGCTTAAATCCTTCCATCTACACTGATAATCCCACTGTGTATAATGGGATGTGGGCTACCGTGGCAAGGGGAGGCTGAACCAGAAAGTGATGAAAAAAACACAACATAATCTGTATACACTTTTAGAATCATTTATCCTACTCAAACAGGTTTGAGATAATGCTTTGCATCCTACTTCATGGACACATCAATATTCAGTAAGCCAGACACTGCCTCCTATAAGAGACCTAAGGACACTACAGTTGCCTTGGCCAAGGGGAGTATCACATAGCCTGAAAGGCCTGAAGGACTGAGAGACCAAAGCTCAGGGACTGCAGCCACACAAAAGCAATATCACTATCGACGAAAGTTAGTTCAAGAGTAAAAGATGCCCTCTGGTACACTGGTCTTGAGAAACCAAGGTTTTAGATCAAGAGCAAAAATCACTGCACTTGGGAAGCAACAAACAACTCACGGCCTATATTTCTGTTCTACTTCCCTGAAGTGTTACTTACAGGCTCCCGGCCATCCATGGCTTCCATCCAGAGCCTCCGGTCCTCTTCCGACAACGCCTGCATGGTGATAACCCCTGGCCTGTGGAGAAAGGAGGAGACAGACATGAACCCAGTGCCACAGGTAGAGAGAGCTTGACGAAGGTGAAACTTCAAGAAACACCCATACAACAGACTGAGGTGTTGCTGGGATTAACAACACGAAGTCAGGCACACACACAGCTTTTCAGAGCTGCCTTCCAGTCTCAGAAAGCAAAGTCATCTTCCGAATGCTCCTCAATAAACCCATCTCCCTCAGGGAGGTAGGAAAAAACAGAGCAGACATGAACAGGGTATGGCCAGGCCCATGTGTGTTTCATTACCATACTGTTAAGGGACACAAATGATTAAAGTGATTCCTTTAGACCCTGTTTGTTTCTTGAGGTCTTATTCACTCCTATTCTCCAAAATGCCTAACAGAGAATTTTACTCACAGTAGGATTGCAATTCGTACGTATTCAAGTGAACAGAATTACTGGACTCAAGATTAAAAAGAGGTGAAACAACCAAGCTGGGGGGACCCTGGTCTCCTAACCTCTAAGCTAAGGCTTCTAAACTCCTTTTGACATGGAGATGTTTTATGAAGGTAACTGGCTTTGTAATTATATTAAATGTATATCATTTTTTAAGTGAATACTTGTCATGTCAGGTAATAAGTTCTTTACATGCATTACCTCTTTTCACCCTCTCACTGAAATCTGCTTGCTCTTTCTAACTGAACACAAACCCTCCAGAAAGCTTGCACACAATACCAAATGGTATTTGTTGAGTTCCCCTTACAGATGGCACTCTACAAATAGAGACTTGAGCCATGAAAATGTCCTTGGGAGATGGGGCTAAAAGCCCTCTGTGCTCATTAAAGCAGGAGTTCTTAGGGTCCACAGATGGGTCCAAGAGAGTCTATAAACCACACTTCCATCTCCAAATGTATATATATTTTTCTGTATTAACAGTTCAACCTCACCCATTATCACAAAAGACTGCAACCCTCAAAAAGTTAAGAACTACTGATTTAAATCCTCATCTTTAAAGTTTGAGAAAGCCTAAAAGGAATTAAGAGGTCCATTAAGCAAGAATGAAGTCCTATTGCCATCTTAGTCTGTGGTACCATTAATGATCCCAGAACAGTATGGTAATGAAACACATATGGGCCTGGCTATACCCTGTTCAGCACGAGTCTATTCATTCTGACCCATATAATCACTGGTCCTGACTTATTTCCACAGTTCCATTGAATATGCTAGATCTATTTATGTTGACCGTATTTTAAATATTACATCTGCTTCTTTTCATTGATTATCCCTCAATATCCCTTAAGGAAAAACATTTCCAAAGACGTAAGCATATAAGTACAAGGGGGTTGGGGACTCGAGGGGCACTGGGGTGTGGTGTAAGTGTGTATGCATGTGTTGTGTGTATGTACGGGTGGAGGTGGACAATAGTGGTGGTAGCTGGGTATGCGGGTGGATGAGTGAAGGTGTTGAGCCTGAGGACATTAATTCCCCAGAGGCAGTCCTTCCTGTGAAGGCGATCCTGAGCAGTGGCACCCTAACACAGAGAGGACTCAGAAAATACAGTAAGCCTTTTCTCCAGTCCCTGCCAGGGCCCTCCCTCCTCTTCTCAGAAATTCTCATTCTCAAACCCAAATGCCCATTTCCCACCATGAGCCCATGCAGTACACCAGACCCATTGTCTGCAGACTACTGGCAGTCATGGCTCTACAGAGCTGATCCTTGGCTTGCAGGCATGGCAGACTGATTCTATTCTTCAACCTCAAGCGCAATGATTTAATGGCTTAGAGAAAAAAGTCTACGAACCTGCAGTCCACTGCACAACTCTCAAGTCCCTGGACCTGAATCTTTGAGTGTTGCTCCAAGTGTTGTGCCTGGACCACCAGCTTCACAATCAGGCATTCCCTTAAAATGGAGATTCTCAACCTGAAACCACCTTACTGAATCTGAATTTCTGGGCTGGGCCTGGGAACTTGGATCTTAACCAACTCCCCAGGTGATCCTGATGCACAGTTAGGGCTGAGACCCACTGCCCTGGGCTGCCCACAGGCCCCCACCCTATCCTTCCTGTCCCCCCACACTAAAGAGCAAAGACACTCTCTGGTATACACTAGGGTCAAGCAGCCAACAAGTCTCCAGTTCATTTCCTGCTAGGTGCTCACCAGCAAACAGTGAGACCAAAATAGTTGCCTAGCATACCAAGATTTTAGGGACCCTGCAGATGTCACATCAACTTCATGGCACACAGTGTGAGATTTCCACCCTGAGCCACAAAGAGGAAGTTCAGACAAACTCAGAGGCCACTTGGCCTTAGTAACCAGGAAAGTCAACAGGATTTGTTTTCATTTCAAGAAGAAATATCAAAATGTAAGTTCTTTTCCACATGTGGTTTTGTTCCCCTTTTTTGTAGGAGGGGGTAGTACAGAACTGAATAAAGTGGATTTAATATGCTTAGTTCTAATCCTATCACCCCCCACCCCCCCGCCCCAAGTTCAGGTAATTTTCTCTCAGTCTCATGTACGTATATCTGGATCACAGTACTATCCTTTCTAGGCATCTAGGAAACACTCCTTTGGCTCCAAGTTTCTGTTCCTTCATTATAATTTAAACCGTAATTACATAAATCTCTTATGTGTGAATTTCCAAGAACCAAGGTGAAAGAGTCAACTTTATTTTGGAATCAAGCAGTAAGTTTCTTTCCATATTCCCCCTCCCTATGTCCCTACTAGCCACCATTCCTCAAAACAAAATAAAGCAAGCAAAACTCCCTATGACCCTGTACTTTCCATGTCAGTCCCTGTAAGACAGCATACTTTCCTAGGGGCATCAGCTTAGTTCATGTTTTAAATGCATCTGGCTTTTCAAAACAAAAATGGAGAGGGGGAAAGAGAAACAGAACTCTCCAGAGAGGAGTATGCAATGAAAAAGGGAAAATATAAAACAATGAAAGAGAACTGGAGTAAGAGTAAATGAGCTCTCTCTAGCTCTACAAAGAATCATGATACTATCAAACATCATAATGGAATAAAAACTATAATAATAATAACCTAGGAGGGTATGTCAGATACTGTGCTAAGCACTATATATAAATTAATTCATTTAATCCTGACAACTACATCATGAGGTAGGTATACTCTCATTATCCCATTGGGCAGATAGAAAAAAAAAAAAAAAAAAAACACAAGGCTCAACTAGGTTAAGTACCTTGTCTACAGTCACAGAGCCAGAATCTCAACCCAGCAGTCTATTGCTTCATCCTTGCAAACAAGACCACAGCAAATGTGAAGGTGCCCTAGTCCACAGAGAGCAGATATTGAACACCCAAGTTCTCCGCCATCAAAAAGGATCAGGCCCTCCTCTAAGTACCACAGAGAATTCCTGCATGGTATCAAATAAGATCAAACAATAAAGGGCTCTGTAAAGCCTAAAGTGTTTCATAAATATGATCACAACAACACCATTCAAACAACCAATCCAAAAAAGAATATGATGATGTCCAGTGTGACTATGGCTCACTTTCTACAGCAGTGATTCTCCACATTTTTTCTGCCTCAAAATACTCAAGACATGGAAAGGTGATGAGTTTTTTAAAAGAACACAAAAAACACTAATCATGGGGGCGCCTGGGTGGCTCAGTCTGTTAAGCATCCGCCTTCAGCTCAGGATCCTGAGATCAGGCTCCCTGCTCAGTGGAGAGTCTGCTTTCCCCTCTCCCTCTGCCCCTCCCCCCCACCCATGCTCTCTCTCAAACAAATAAGTAAAATCTTTAAAAAAATAAAATTTGAAAGCAGTAATCATAAAGAAAAAATATGAGGAAATTAGGCTTCACCAAAATGAATAATTTTCATTCATAAAAAGGTACCATAAAAAGAGTGAAAAGGCAAACTACAGAGAAAGAGATGTTGTAGTTTATATCTCCAGTGAGACTCTTAACCAGAATATGTAAAGAATGCCAACAAATAAGAAAAAAATGAACCTAATTAATAAAATGGATAAAAGACATGAATAGGTGCTTCATGAAGGACACACAAATGGCCAACAAACATAAGAAACAGGGCCCAACATGATGGCTCTTCAAGGAAGTGCAAATGAAACCACAATGAAATAGAACAAACACCCATTAAATGGAGAGTATTCAGAAGACCACTAATACCAAGTACTGGCAAGAATGCAGAGCTAGTGGAACTCTCATACACTGCTAGAAACAGAACTGATAACACCATTTTGACGTTATCTACTAAAACTAAACATATACCTCACCTGCTGTATGACCTAGCAATTCTACGTCTATGCATACATCCAAGAGAAATGAGTGCATATGTCCATCAACAGACACATTCAAGAATGCTGTTTTATTCTTAACGGCCAAGCTTTACAACAAAAATCTCAAATGTCCGTCTAGGAGAATAAATTGTTTATATTTGAAATGAAAGAAAGAATCCAGACACAAACTACTAACAGTGAGTCCACTGATACCATGTTCAAACACTAGTCCAAGTCATCTATGGTGACAGAATTCAGAACAGTGACTTCATCTTGGGGGAACAGGAATGATGATGACTGGAAGGAAACCTCCTCAGGTAACAGCAATGTTCTATAACCTGATCTGGGTGATTATATAGGTACAGGGGCGGGGGGGGTAGTCATAAAGATACAGACTTAAGATTTGTGCATCTTACTGTGATTACACCTCAATAAGAAAAAAAAAAAAAACCCTTTTAAATACGGAAGAGATAGGCCTTGTCATCAGTAACTTACGCTCACTAGTTATCCTGACACTGGTGTTTCATAGCTGTGTAAGCGCCTAGTGGACGAGTAACTGAACTACTCTATACTCTTCTTTACAAACCAGATTTAAACAGTACCTACTTCCAGGAGTCATTGTGAAGGTTAAACGAGATATTTATGAAGTGTTTCAAAGTGTCAGACACACTGTAAATGCTCCCAAAATTAGTTGTTATCACTGGGGCAGGTGGAGGGAAAAAGATGGCAAGTGTGTAGGAGGATCAAAATTACGGAGGAAGAAGGGCAG